CAACTTCTCCGTGTTAAAAATTCGCCATCGGAAACTGCGATTCCAACCGAGTTCACGGTTCGGGCGCGTGCACAATTGTGTCACGCACGAACCAATTTTTTGCACACGCACAAAAAATAGTAAACTTTGTATCGTACTTTTTGTGAAGTGGTTTACCTTTTTTGCTATAGCTGTCGCACCGTCGTTTCCCTGGAGATCAAGAAACTCGTGGCAGGGCAGCAGTAGCTCTGGTGATTCTAGCTCGCTGCACAGCGCAGCCATTGCCATCGTTATGATCGCACCGAGAGGCGAAATCATGGTGGTAGTGCCGTACTGTAACGTTTTTTTTTTCAAACAAAGTGAACACACTTTTATTTCAAGTGTGAAAGTGTGCATTAGGTTTTTTTATTTTCTTTTTGTTCGGGCTACTTCGCGCTGAGAAGGCGACCCGATCTAAAGCATCAACGCATCTAGGAGGCGTTGAAAGGGCATAGCTGTATCGCCATCGCCATCAAGTTTCAACAATGGCGGCAATGTGCGCCCAACACTACGGAGGAATGAAGGGTAAGAGAGGCCCCGAGATCACTCGTTGTGAAGCCGCGATGACGCCGGAAGTTATTATTAGAAACAATAGCTTTCTCTGGTTTGTTCACCTGCATTCGAGGTGGTCGAGCTGTTAGTGGTCGGACCGCCATTCAAAAGTGGCACCGAATTTTGTCCCCTTTTGGTTGTGCGCGCGTGTATGCATGTATGTATGTATGTATGTATGTATGTATGTATGTATGTATGTATGTATGTATGTATGTATGTATGTATGTATGTAGGTATGTATGTATGTATGTATGTATGTATGTATGTATGTATGTATGTATAGTATGTATGTATGTACGTATGTATGTGTGTATGTATGTATGTATGTATGTATGTATGTATGTATGTATGTATGTATGTATGTATGTATGTATGTATGTATGTATGTATGTATGTGTGTGTGTACGTATTTATGTATGTATGTATGTTCGTGCGGAGACGTATGTATTTTGTGAAATTAAACCTGTTGACCCAGAAGAGACTATCTTATGTTACAATCGGAAGAATTCAACTTTCTTTCTCGAACTCAAGTAATTAGGTGCACCTGGCTAAGCAACTGTGTTATCGCCATCACTTCTATTTTCGCCCTCCTGTAGCTGTTGACAGGAACCGCATTCCATTCGAAACCAACGCAATAATCTATTTATCTACTGTCGTGGCTGAACACTATAGATTATAGAAGATGAAAGAACGAATACCTTTCAACTTCGCATCATCCGTCAATCATAATTACCAAAAATTCGTGCCTGAAGAAATTCTTGAAACGTTCGGTATTCCGTATAACACGCACTCCGATCGAAACCGCGAGTGGCGGAAAGCAGCGACTCTCCCTAAAGTGTACGACTGGCAAAAGGATTCTGTCTGATTATATGCTGTAAGCAATCAGTACGGAGCCGCAGCAATGACCTACACTTCGCTTGTCCCTCCATTAAATATATTGAAAAAAACCGCCACCTTCACGAAGTGAACGATATGATCGAGGAACTCGCTCGGAGCCGATCGGGAGAAACCGTGAATCGTCCGTACGAGTCCTTCACCGTCATATATAGACGTGACAGGTTGCTAAAGGGGTGAATTTACTATCAGCGTTAAGTGAAACCCGAACAGCGCCAAGCCTTCGCAATGGTATGGTGCGCACCGTTCAATTGTCGCGATTGACAGGCGGGCGCATCCTGTTCGGCAACCCTGCGCACATCTGCGTGCCTGTCCATCGTAATAAGAGAACGCGTGGCGCGCTCTATACCATCACGAAAAGGCTTGCCGCTATTCAGGATTCGTTTGGCACATATACTACATACATTTATACATACACAAGATGGAATCATTGACAAATCGATGCAATTATATACAAGTAATACATTACTAGCTACAAAGCTAGTAAGCTACAAGCAAGCGTTTTCCTTTGAATATTACAATTTTTAGTCGGTGAAGGATGTGGCGAGAGAATCTTTATATAGAGGCTGCAGTTTAATGTTAGAAAATACAGTGTTGATACGTTTCCCGGCTAGATGTTCTCTTTGCCGCTTGCGTGTCGCCCCTACGTCGCGGGTTCTCACTTCAGGGTCCGTCTGTCGACGGAGCTTCCTCGCAGCACAAAGTTCGCATAATGCCTTACAGGTGCGTAGCGGGTACCTTCTCGGCAGAATGACGAATGGAATAGTGGCATAGTTGGTGTTCCTCTACTCCACAAGGTTTAGGTAGACGTGTTGTGGGTACATAGCGCATGTCGCGCCTCTAGCGTACACGCCAAGAAACATGCCCCTAGCACAAAAAGCTTGGTGAGCAAGCTCCTAAAACTCCCTCGTAAAACCGAACCGGAAGAAGCGGAAGAGATCCCTGTGGCGCTAGCGCTATAGGGAATGCGAATGCTATACCTACATCCTAAATTTTTCAAAAACAGCGCTGCTAAATTATGCTAGGGGTGGAGTTCACCCTACTACGTTCCACATTCCCACCCGAAATCCCCCTTTCTTCCCGCAGCGTTGAGCTAATTTGTGTGTCCGAGCATTCGGGAAACCCTGGCAATGAGGCCGCCGAGGGTCAAAAAACCGGTCACAGACGGATCTCATGAAAGGTTTCTCCGTGCACTGCCTAACCCGTATTTTCCTAACCTGTCCGTCGTCTTGTCCTTCTTGCGGCAGGGCACCACTGCAGAACATGGGACAAAGGGGGCATTTAGGTACGCTCCGCCAGCCGGGCTTGCTGCGTCAGCAACTTATTCGACGCACTTTTGAGTGTAGCGGGCTTTTTTTTCAGCTCTACTCGTCTAGGCTTCTCTCTCGTTTGTGTCATTCCACGTAATGCCCCTGGTATTTAAAAAAAGAAAAACACCAAGCCTGCGCGTTGAACGCACAGCACAGTCACAGCGAAAGCTGGAGTTATGGCCTTTCGTAGTCTTCTTTAAATACTCTTTGGGTAATTATTACGAACACACTTGCAGAGTATATTCGGTATGCCATTCTTCGCCATTCTTCGGAGGAGCGTGGTACCTGCTACACTCTTGCAACTGTCTGCATTTTTTTATGTTGTGGCTTACCACGATGAAGAATTATGCCTGAAGCTTCTGTAATTGGGGGGTGGAGGGGTTGTTAATTTGCTGCTCTAAAATGCTTTATTATACATATTAACGCGATTCATTTCCAGACATCGTAACTGCCTTAGGCCAGTTAATAAGCACCGGCGTCGCTCAGTGGTACAATACTAAGCCGGCACGCAGCGGACCCGGTTTTGAGTTTCACTGTGTCCTTGGCGTTTTAATGCGATAGAGTTGAAGAACTCGTTTCACAGTAATTCAAGTGTCGGTTTCAGCGTCGTTGGTTGTGAGCGAAAAACTTATGAGTGACCGAAATATCGAGAACGATGCTAATAAAATAAATAATAAAAAACCCTGGGTTGGGAAAATGTTAGTTTTTCTTATTTCTTGCTATACTGGTTACGGACACCGGCGGCGGCGGCGGGCAACTATACGGCGACGCGCGTCACCCGTGTTCTGATCTCATGACAGCTTTCGCTGGAAAATTGTCCCAGGTGCGTAGTAATTCTAGTTGTTGCCACATATTACGAAACAGTAACTCATGCGCGCAATCGCGAAGAACTGAATGCAAACAAGCAGGCGCTACTCCGCTCATGGACGCTGTGTCGCTGGACGTATCACGGCAATTCCTTTCGTTCTCTGCGGCACCACGGCGCAATTGTCCCAGCACACGTTTTCTATATACCAATGTGATTAAGTCTACTTACGTTTCAATAAAATATCCGTGGAGACTTAACTGTATATGACGCATTATTCATTGTAGGTGCAAGGAAGTACCTCGGATCACATGGGTTAAACCGTATGGAGCTTTTTTAGCAATGCTGTTGCTCTTTTCGAATGCGAATGCATTTCTTAGTTGGGCTATGTCAGGCGTCCGTCGGAATTTGTTCACCGCCCTCTCCCACAGCAACAGCTGCGGTGCACGCTGGAGCTGGAAACGCATACCACGTTTCTCGCGGCAGAAAAACGCCACGTGCGGCGAACGGGCGTTTTTTTTTTTTTTGGCTGCACATTGCAAGACAAAAAAACAATATTCTTATAACGCTGGGTTCTCGCGTGTGAAACGGCCCTATGGAAGCTATATCTGACGTAATCACATTCCCCCATGATTCCCTTCGAGGAAGTGAAAGCATCTTTTTTTTTCACTGTTCTACACGTTCATTTCTTCATCTCTCTTCAGTATTCTGAACGTCTCATATCGAGTGTACACCAGGGTTTCGAATTTCTTATACATGCATGTGCCCCACAGTATACGCTCGAGCAGCGTTGCGTACAGTGAAACCATACGCTTGCTACTTTCTAGGCCGAGCCAACAGACGTCCAAAGCGTGGATACTTTTTGATGGAGGAAAATATTTTTTTAAGTTTGATGATCACCAAGAAGCGACAATGCGGCAGCTGTACACCGTTATCGTCGCTACAAGATCAAAAATAACTACAACGTTACGTAATCAAGAAACAGTCGTTACACTAAGTCTGTTCACAAGATCACGTTGTCCCACATACGTATTTTTCGTCTTGATGTACGTACCACCATAAGATGAAGGCAGATAGGGTGCGTTGTGGAGTGGTTCAGCGTTTATTCAGTGCGGTTCGCTTCGAATACGTATGCAATGCTATCCAGTCATAGCTAGCCTCCGAGAACACATACCTATAGATACAATGCGCGATCTACATAGGTCGTTCACAAACATACACAAATGTCAATCGTAAATTCAAAAACAAAAGAATCGAAGAAGGTGTCCTGTCTAAACTAAAGGCTACATTGAAAAATAAGCTGCCCATAAACATCATAAGAAAAGCACATTGTTAACGCAAACATGAAGCGTCACAAATTACCACAAAAATATTTAAAACTGAAAAAGAAGCGCTAATCGCCGCAAGTACCCAGCAGCCTGTCATTTATAGGCCGCTGGGTCTCGACCCAAAGCGGCTTGCTCCCGCAGCAAAGAAGAGCTGCGACGGCGCATTCGGTCGCTCTCCAGTAGCGCCGTCTTGGAATGGCGGCGCTTGTTTCGGGTTCGGGCCACTCGCAGCGGACAATAGAGCTGCCACTTGTCCTCCATGACCATAATGCCATGAACCACGTTCGAAGGCGGCATATGCTTGGTCTCGGGCAGCGCGAGCGCCATCGTGCCAAACAGGAGCAACATGGCGGCCGTGATAGCGTACGCAACGCCCCGTAGCGGCCGCGACTGGATCTCGTTGACGAACACCGCCGCTTGGGCCCCGAGACGTCCGCTCATGTAGCAGACTCCGAACGTAGCCCCACGAAGCACGGTCGGGTAGAGTTCCGCGGACAAGACGAACGCCGAGATGGCTGACATGTCGAAGACCAGCAGCGCCAAGGTGACTAGAACGGCGGCGACGAGGTCAGCGGCGTCCAAGGAGACTGCAAGGGACAGGGCGCCCATGACGACGGCCAGGGACAGCATGCTGAAGACGAGGCAGAGGCGCCTACTATTGCGCGTGAGAACGTAGACATCCGCCACGACGCAGGGCAGACGCAAGACCACGAGGGCGGTGCGGGCGCCTTGGCTGGTGCGCATCATGTGACCCGTGCTGAGGTGAGCAAATGTTCCAAACGCCAGGAACCAGCAGCCGAAGATTATGGCCGACCGCTGGCGCAGGGGCTGGTTGGAAAGCAAGTCCGAAAGCCGAACCCCGTCTGCGGAATCGCAGGCCTCTACTTATTAGGTGCATTGTAGAGGAAACGCTGCAAAAATATGGCGTGGTAACAAGAGAAACTCTGTACATCATAAACGCCCTCTAAGGGTGTATGTATACTGTATACTATTCGACAGAATGCAACAAACGGGACGTGAATAACCAAAGACGCCAATGTATCCCTCGTCCCGTTTGTTTATTCACCTGGTGCGTCGTCTTTTTGTGTGCTATTTTATTACGTCCACAGGCGTACACTCAGGGGAGGCGCAGGGGGTGGGGTTGGCCGCCCTCTTCACCTAAGACGGTGGGGATAGGGGTGTAATGTGTGTTTACATTGTTTTCCGAGCGAGTAGAGCACCAATGTCATGGGCACCTGTGTCGGCGCGAAGCTCTGTTATAGCAGATGAATCAAAATGAGCGGACATATAATTAGGTGGGGGGCGGGGGTCTCCGACACAAATTACCCCTCACCTCCCCTCATAACGAAGCCTGCGCACGCCATGGTTGTCCAATAGCCTAGCAACTTGAGTGTATAGGCGCTGCTGCTGAACGGAGACGCGTCTTCACTCACAAGCTACAATTAAGTATGAAGGTGACATTGCGTGGCATCATGCAGGTGATATTAGCGGACTTGACCCGTTCGTAGTAAGTACAACGAAATAAATGGTCACCCTGGTCCGTGACTGTGACGTTGGCGCGTTCCTGTTCCTGCTGAGTGACCGAGTGACAGTGCTGCCTGCACATCTCGTCCCTGAGCGCCGACAGCCGGCGCCTGAAGACCGGCGGCTCGACACTGTTGGCTCCAGCTGCACGCGACAGAACGTGCTCGGCGTTGCGCAGCTCGTAGGTGGCCATGAGCCAGCAGGGCGACTCCTCTGCTAGATAAGCCGCGACCATCAAACCACACGTGGGAACCATGTAGGCTACCTGGAGAGAGAAAAACATGCTACAGCTCCGCTATACTGTGAAACACGAGGAAAGTATAGCAGCACGGGCATCCAGAGATTCCTCTTCGTACAGATTCCGCGGCACCGTTCGGCAAAGCGTCGATGACGCCAATGTGTGCGCTAAGCACGTAGCTTTTTCCCGGCACTTGCGGGATATGGTTAGCGAGATTCGAGAACTCGGTGTGCGACATGAGTTCTACTTCGTGCGGCACATTATCGACATCCTGCTTGTTACGGCAGTTCAGATACGCGTCGTCTACAGCGAGTTTTGTCGGGTAGTTTCCCTCTTCAAAGGTACCGACGCAGCGCCGGAGACGAGGCGGTGTTGCACTTGCTTGCGCGGCCCAAGAGGTTGCCGAAGCGTTTTTAGCATTTTATTGCTGAAAAGGTTTCGGCAACCAAATTATTGCGATTGCTTCCTGCTAATTATACCTTATAGCATAATTGTTCATTCATTTTAACCCGGTTATAAGCAATGCTAGCCTTATAGTCTGTATGGAGCGCTTTACTTCGACATAAGCTCAGACACCTCCAGCTGTAAAGTCACTTGCTTATAGCAGACTAAATAGGCCATATTTTGAATATGCATGTGTTGTTTGGGACCCCTTTACTATAACCAACATTACCCGCCTAGAGAATGTACAAAGAAACGCTTTACCGTTTATTTATTGAAAACTTTTCTCCTTATGACTCACCCACTGAACTAGTGCAGGCAAACAACATTCTATGCCTAGCACCAAGAGGAAAAATTTAACGTTGACATTACGCTGCATTTAAGTTGACTAAATTCGAGAACGGCACGGTGACGGCAGACTTTCTCGGTCATTGACGCCCTTCAATATGGTGGCGTATAGCGTGCATACGCATACGCTATTTGAAGGGCAGTTCCAGTACATGCCCTTGAGCAAACGCAGCATTGCAATTATTCCTGTAGCGTGTTGTTGAGATCGCGCCGTCTTACCTGGGCAGCATGCCAGTTCCGGATGAAGACGTAGACGACTTCAGTGTAGACAGCTGCGACGAACCCGGCTGCTGCGACGGCGATGGCGCAGAAGAGGACGCGGTGCTGCGAGTCGGTCACCTCGAAGAGCAACACCTGCGAGGCCACCAACACTTCAGCGGCACCCACGGATGTCACGAACCGGAGCGTGGTGAACACCGCCACGCTGTTGGCGAACACGAGTGCGGTGCCGGCGAATACGAGCAGCACGAGCCAGATGCCTAGCACGGGACGTCGACCCATTCGGTCGGCAGCGATGCCCGCCAGCTGAAAGCAGAGAGTCTAGTACATCAGTTGTCAAGATTCCGTGCCGACCGCTTATGCCCTCGCGATCTCCGGCGTCAGCGTAGCTCTGGCCGACTGCGCTCGCCCTATGCCATCTCCTGACGCCGACGACCTTCGACGACAGTATAGCTCTGATCAACTGGACTTGCTCTACGCCATCTACTGACGCCGACAAGAGCTCTCGCAAGTGGTGCCCCGTGCTTGGACTCCTGTGACCGTGTTTCCATCTTTCCTATCTCTCCTATCCCCTCCATTTGTCATCGCTCTCTCTGGCTTACCACCTCACGCCTCTTCCTCTTTTCTACACCTTTACTCTTACCCTTTTAATCCCTCCTCAGCCCCATCCCTTATGAGCTACTGTTGAGGTGTCGCTCGCTGAAGCAGACACTTACGGGGCTCACCTTTCTCTTCCTTTCTCTCTTAAGAATCAATTTTTAGAGCAGATTTAAGGTTACCAAACAATATCTATTGACGGGATTGCGTAAGGGCCTATTAACACGCTGTCCGCACAGCCGGACCGCACATGGCGGGACACATGCCACACGCAAGCTTAGGGCGAAAGAGCGTCGCCGAGACGCTCTGTCGCACTCTGCTTGCGGGTGCTCTTTCGCCCTCCGCTTGCGTGCGGCAGGTGTCCCGCCACGTGTGGTGTGGGTGTACGGATAGCGCGTGTATAGTCCCACTCATTTAGCAGATTTCCGGTGTCGGTGGTGGTGGCGTCGTAGGTTGTGAGCGAAGAATCGGCGTTGGCCATGACCAAAAATTCTAGGTGGGAGCCGAAGACGTTTGCATTTTCGCTTTACTTCAACTTCCGTAATTAGAAAGACGAAAAGGCGATAAGGGCACAAGACGAGCGCTCCCTAACAACTCATTAAGGTTGTAGAGAGCGCTCGTCTTTCTTCCTCGTCTGGCGTCTCCGTCGTGTTCGTGCATAGTTTCCAACACGCCCAACTCTCAACTTTAGCGTAAATTACGTGCGAGAAAGGGCAGAACACACAAAGCAGAAGACAAGCACTCGCCATCTGTTTTGGGATCTCTGGCCCTTTAAGGGACACTAAAGAGAAGCATTGACTTCATTTAAATTGATAAACTGCACTCTGATTACCCTAATATAACATGTTTCAGTGTGATATGTTCGTTACCAGAGGAGAAAATCAAGGTTCAGGTTTCACAATTTAAATTTCGCGCCGAATCTCATTGCGTGATGGCACTAATTTTAAAATGTATTTTCTGCAGGTTCGATGACACTGGCTTGAAGAAATTTTCCTGAAACGTCATATGCTAGGTCTACGACACCCATAGATGACCATTACTTTAATTTTTTGACGCAACAATGTTCTTGCTCTTTCATGGTGTTTGGATCAGGTGTCTCGAGGTGAATGTTATTTTGCGTTAAGAGTGCTGTTTTCAGTATTGTAGAATAGTCTTTTTACTAATACGCGCGCGATCGTTTTCCTCTTGTGTCTTTTTTAGGGTTCAATATTGAGGTAGTTATTTCAGCGTGATAACTGCAGCGCAACTAAGGATTCGTGCTGACGTTCTAGTGTGCTTGTTTTATTTGCACTATGGTCTTAAACCAGTTGAAACCTGTTTATAGTAAAATAAAGAGGTGCGTGTTTTTCTTGGGGATAGGCGGGATGTTGTCAGGCTACAAAATCGTTCATATTGTCTCGGAGCAAGTAGCAAGCGCTTGTACTGGTGTGCTGTGGGGCTACTGGGATAATTTACGAGTGACGGACATTATTTGCGATCTGCAGTTCACAAATAGGCCCTAGCCAAGCTATGAATTCTTTTAAATAATACTATTTACCTGCTCCATTCGCACACCGTAAATCTTGAGACAGGTCACTTACAGAAGCGGTACAAATTGCATACAAGGGTTGAACATTTCGAAAAACAATCAGTACAAAATAATTTCACTGAGGAAAGTAATGTTGTCAAGTTGAACAAAAGTTGAAGTGGCAAATAAAGGCACACAATTAGATATAGTCGAAAATTGTATCGGTTTGCAAATCAACGACTCATTGACGTAGAATGCGGGGCGTTTGAATATTCGTTGCACATTACTGCTGGAGTGACCATGTCACCATGTGGCAGTGAGGGTGACCATGTAAACGAAGGCGTTCGCTGCATCCGCTAGAAAGCCGTTCATTCTGTGGTTCCTGGTCATGGCAATGCTCCGCTTCATTCTTTCCCTACTCCTCACCCTCGTATCACTCCTCACCGTAACTTCTCTTTCCCAATCCCATGCTACAGAGTACTAGGCTATACTATGTTTTACTCTCTCCCCTCGTCTTCTACCTCCCCACCATCCCACGCCTTTTCCACCTCCTGGGAGAAAATAGATATTCTCGACAGATATTGGTAAAAAAATTAAGGACACCGACAAGTCAGACCTCTGAAGAGCTCTGTCGTTAATACAGTAAATATAATCGTGAGCCGGATTCCGAGTAATGCGCAAGTTATGAAAGGAAAATGCAGCTCCACTAGCCGCAGCTTCTGTTTGTGAAACTCACCGGAGCCCCGACAACACCTCCAGCCACGTACGTTGCCGAGAGCGCCGGCACCATCCAACTGCGCCCGCACACCAGGTCCCATTCGTCGACGATGGAGTGGCCGTGCGACTCCGCGAATATGGCGTTGCACCGCTGGTGAGCCGAGCTGGCGCCGGACGCGTATTGCCAACCGGCGTCGCACGGTACGGTGCTCCGGTTGTCCGGGAGCCCTGCAGAGGACTCGGCGTAGGGCAGTGGAGGCTCGAAGCGTTGGCACTGGCTATGCCTTTCAGTACCGTCTTTTTCCTGTATTACGGGTATGCTGATGTTCCTCCAGACGTTCGGTTCCATGTAGGAGTACTGGACAGTAGGCCTGCGCAAGGTGGTAAGGCGTTCCAGGAGACGTCTTCAATACCTGCTAAAATTGGACGAGGAGCACGATATCATGACTGGGCCCGTTCGCGGTGCCTAAACTCATACACTGCTCCCTTTCGTTACACCTGCAACTCTTCTCCGAGTAACCACCAAAAGTTTTCGGCGTTCCTCACAACCCCACCCCTTCCTCTTGAGGGTCTGCACTGTTCAGCTTACGTCGGCTAGTAACAGCAGCAGCTGATCCAGTTGATCGATTCACCAGGTCACGCAAGGCAATGGAGCCCTGGACTCAATGAAGGCCCTCTGTACACTCGCCAACGTATATTTTCTCTCTCTTCAGTAAGAGAGTTGCTGCCTTACGAATCGACCGATGTTAGAACTTGTCAATCATTGGAGTGGAGCTACGGTTATTCGTCGCATGCTGTAAATGCTTTCTCTCGTCCCGATGAACACCCTAGAAGCTAAGCTGTGTGGGTTGGTGCGGAGAAAGGAAGTTACTTCATGAGCGCGTTGTTAGTTCGAGCACTTTTTTTTCGAAGGCGTGGCCTACATTCTGTGTGGCTCAAAACGGACGCGTGTGCTCGCAGCGGCCGTGGTAACTATAGATGCGACCCGCGATGCTAGTGGCCGTGAATTTGGGTATATGGCGTGGTCATTTGGGTATATAGAATCATTTGTTAAAAGGAGGGCGAACGATTTCTAGCTGACCTTGGAAATATATTGCCCAATCGAGACCGCATGCTGCCCCTAATGTTTCATCATGAAACAAGCGCAATATGTACGAAGACTTAGAAAGGACACCGGACGGAGCACTGACTATAGCTACTGAAAATTTTTATTTCGGAAAGAACACTCTCACATATATATAAGCATAACATGCATGCACGTCACCACAATCCACCCTTATTATCACAAACAGTGTGAATTAATGAAAAACTGATACGATTACCTTGCTCTTCCCCAACTGGCAGTGAGCCTAATGCTTGGTTCGCCAGCTCTCAACAGCCTCGACTGCCGAACGGCACCGTTTTCTGAACATGCTGAAATGCCGCAAAGCCCCTTTAAGACACATAGATAGGGCCCACTTAAACGAAATAAGAACAAAATGGCTCATTTATCTTCTTACATTTGAACAAAAATTTAAGGAGATGTGGCAATAATATTACTCAGTTGTACACGGAGGTGGCGTAATTTCTCACCTAAAGAAGAGCTTCCGACTTCGTTTGCTTTCAATACTATATGTAATGAAACTAGACAGGTAAGAAGGTCCACCTGCCGAAATTCTGATTATGTACCTGCTTTTAAATACACACACTCGCCCACACGCACACACATTAACACACACAAACTTACACATGGAGCTTCGTGGCGCACTATACCTGCACCAGTGGTCCACGGGTCTTGCCAGGTTTGCCGTTCCGATAGCGTGTACGATGGTCGTGAAGAAGGCCAGCGCGGTGCAGAACAGGGCGATCTGCTGAAACCGGCCGTGACCGCAGATGAGGACGTGGTCCAGTGGAGACGTGGGCGCCACCGCCGCGACCGAGGCTGCAGTCATGACCGCTGCGACGGTGCTGGTACGGGCAGCCTCGTGATGACCTTCCGTTGACGACAGCGACGATGTCCGTTCGTAAGTGGGCTTGACGGAAGCATTATGAATCGCCAAGCGCTCGTCCTCAGTTCCGCGAGTGGCTGACATCTTGAAACCTTCCCGGCGCCGACCATTTTGTGACAATAGAAATGACGTCAGAGTGGTAGACGGTTGACTGACGGTGGCCCCTTCGTCACTGGGTATAATAAAAGATTCATGCCGGTCGTCGCGTGACGGCAATGACGTCGTCAGAGCACTTGTAGGCTGTTTGGTGGTAGCCTGCTCACTATCTTTGCCGCTGGACAATTGAGCGCTCTCCAGCTGGCTATCATGCGACGAGGGCAAGACCCTCAAAGCGGTAAACGGCTGGTCAACAACGGCCCGTTGTTCTTTGTCGCTGGAAGCCATGGTAGACTTCTGCTCACCTTCGTGTGGTGGAAGTGACGTCCCAAACGGTGAAAGGCTTGTTGGCAATCTTCGGCTTGCTTCGTTTGCGACTGATGATTCTCGTGGAGTCCGTTTGACTGTCGTGAGGCGAAAACGTCGGAGCGCGAGTAGGCTGGTCAACGATGCTCCATTTATATTCATTACTAGGGATCACTGAGGCCTTCCTTCTGGCCTTCACGTGGTGGCAGTGACATCGTCGCAATGGTCACAGGCTGGTCGGCAGTAACTAACCTGTTTTCTTCGCCGCTGTCGACGTTAGTAACGCCCATCTTGCGCTCGTGCGGTGTGAGCATCGGAGCGGACGGTTGCTCTGGGAGCACCCTTTGATCGTCAGATGGAATCGCGGAGGACTCCGGCTGGCCTTCGCGTCGTGGCAGTGACGTCAGAGCGTTCACAGTCTGGTCCGTATGGGCCTGTTCGCTTCTTTGCCACTGATTACTTCGGCGGTGTCCGGCTGGCCTTCGTGCGTCAGAGAAGAATACGCCCGATTGAGCAACGACTTTTCAACGATGTCCCACCGGTCTAAGCCTCTGTAAGTAATGGAAGGTTTCCGTTTGCTTACGTATGGCAACAACGCCGTCGTCATAGCGTTCGTAAGCTGTTTGGTCGTAGCCTGCTCGACTTCCTTACCACTAGACGTCTTAACGGTGGCCGGTTGGACATCGTGTGGTGAAAGCGAGGACGTCAGAACGGGCAAAGGGTTGTTGACGCTTCCTCGCTGGTGTTCATCTCTGGGAACCACAGACGACTCCCGCTCAACGCGTGGTATTAGCGCCGTTGATAAAGAGGTCGCAGGCTGGTTGGCGGTGGCCCGTTCACCTTCTTTGCCATTGCTCGTCTTAGCGTCGTCTAACTTGCGGTCGTGCTGTGACTGCGAGGACGACGTCGAGGCGTTCAACCGCTTAGTGGCCATGGCCTTCTCGTCTTCCGCGTCGCTCATCTTTCTTGTCACCCGTTCCTCTACGTGGCACCTTCAATTGGTCTATGCTAAAGTGGCCGAGGGTCCGTGCACACAAATCGGAACTTGAAGCGTGGCTGTGGGAGGCTGTCTTAGCTCTGCCTGGGCTCAAGAAGTTGAGAAGGAGCGACGGCAAACTGCGACCTGACTGTTGCGCGTAGAAGCTGCTTCTCTTCGCGCGATGTCGCGTGATGAAGAGACCTCGGGCCGTCTTCTTCTTCATTGACACGATGGTTCTCATTTCTATCACGGTCCTTTGCCAAGCAGTGGGCGTTGTCGGGTTGATGATTATGATGATGATGATACTTCGCTTCTAAGAGTTGAACATGGTAGCGATCCTGTCCATAGTGCGTATATAAACCCCTCAGTTCATACTCTATAATGTATGATGATACTCGTGAAAAAAAATTGTGGATTACTACAATGTAATTTATATAAAGTTGAAAGTGGCTTGTGTCAGTAAAGCTTTCTTTATGGCTGCATTCTGTGAAATGTATAGCATGCTCTAAAGCACGAGCAATTCTACGTGTGAAATGTTTTCGAACTTTCAGCACCCAGTATACGTGGTCTTAAGGGAATACGCGCAGTAACGTGCGTGCCTCTTGTAGTGAGTGGCCGGCTTTAAACGACGAAGTCGTTATGATCATCACATGTTCTAACACCCTATGGCAATGCAGGCTTGTTCCACGAAATATTAGTGTTATCACATGCTGTACTTCGATGCCTGTATACATGACGCGTATGTTGGTAAAGCATGATAGCTGTTAGCACTGCACTTTCAAGGAGATTAAGTTCTTTTCAATGTACTTGCAAGCAGACACGTGGATGTGGGGTAGAACACCCGCTTGCCACGCAAACGGCCTGGGTTCCATCGTCATTCAAGCTCGGAAGTTTTTATTGTTTCCTTTATTTGCACACTTCTCGATTTTACTGTCACGGGCAAAAATGATTCACATACAACGAGGCTGACACCGACACCACAATTTCTGCAATACGAGCTCTCTATCGCTATTGTGTTAATACTGTACCGTCGAGGTTAGCAGGCAGCTTTTTTTAAAGAACACAAAAAATTACAGCGTATTCAAGAGGTGAATGATGACGAGCGGGGCGAAGTGGACGGAAGAACGGCTGGATGGACGGACACATGGACGCTTCGTCCTACTCATCATCATTCACTCTGTGGATATGCTGTGACACCGTTTTAATTGGCATGTAATGCAACTGGCTACAACGACGACTACGACGACACGGGATGACAATGACGACACACCCCACGGCGTAAGGCGCTTCGCCACTAAAAGTTTTGGCAGCACGAGACAGAATCGGTCTTGTTAACTAAGGAAGCTACACAGGCCCACGACCACTTACCGGGTATTTACCGTACGGCATTAGCTCCACTGCTAAAATGGCCTACTGACTAGTTCTGCATGTTCGACGAGTGTGCTTGCAGAAGTGAAGTAAAACAAGTGCTGACGTTACACCACCGCCGAAAATGAAAATCTTCACTATCAGCGAAATAGGAAACAGTCTTTTATGGCAATATGGGCGATGTCACGGCCTAAACAATACCGGAAGCCATCGGCGTGCGGAGAGTTCCCCTGCAGGCTACGGATTGGGGGAAGGGGGGTAAATGAATTATGGGGCTGATCTTGCGGAACCCCCCTTCTGGTGGCTCGATGCACTCTACCCCCCTCCCCCGAGTCGTAGCACCCACCACGCTATTATGTCAAAGCGAGTGTATGGGGCTGGTTTGCGCCCCCCCCCCCATTTCAAGTGACCAGGTGGGCGGCCGTCCCCCTGCCAACCTCCGTGCGCACGCTTATGCCGGAGCTTGTGACATGGCTGTGTATGATGGATGGACGGACGGACGGACGGACGGACGGACGGATGGATGGATGGATGGATGGATGGATGGATGGATGGATGGATGGATGGATGGATGGATGGATGGATGGATGGATGGATGGATGGATGGATGGATGGATGGATGGATCACCAGTCAGATAGCCTCCTTCTACTTAATTCCACCCGCTTAAAGTCTGTTTTGACCTCTCTGTCTCTAAACCCCAGTGCTTTGAAGAACTCTGCGCCATCATCCTGAAGTATAGGGTGAAGCCCTTTACAGAATATTATCAAGTGTTCCGCAGTTTCCTCCTCTTCTCCACACGCACTGCATACGTGTCTACCCCTTCGTATTTGGCCTGATACTGTCTTGGTTCGAAGCCTGGAGTGTAGCCTCACCGGTGACCACCGCCGGTAAACGCACTCCCTCACCAGAGAAGGATTGGCCTCCCTGGTGCAGTATCTGGCCACTACCTCCCACATGCATACGTCAATTAACTCACGGCCTTCAGTCCCCAGCAGCTGCGAAGCAACTGACCACGGCGGCGGTCAGATCTGCAACGCAGAAGAGGGTGCTAAGAATCTATGGATCCGGACAGGCCGCCATTGGAACCTGAACCTTGCAATGTTTAACGCTAGAACCTTATCTAGCGAGGCAAGTCTAGCTGTACTATTCGAGGAGCTAGATGGTGTTAAATGGGATATACTAGGGCTCAGTGTGGTTAGGAAGACCGATGATGCCTATACAGTGCTACAGAAAAGACACGTCCTTTGCTATCGGGGCTTGGCTGACAGAAGAGAACTGGGAGTGGGGTTCCTAATTCACAAGAACATACCTGGAAACTTAGAGCAATACTATAGCAATAATGAAAGGGTGGTAGGTATTGTAATTAAACTCAAGAATAGATACACGATGAACGTGGTACAGGCTTACGAGCCTACATCCAGCCATGATGACGCTTCAGTTGAAAGCTTCTATGAAGACGTGGAATCAACAATGAGCAATGTGAAAAAAACACAGTATACTATACTGATGGGAGACTTGTATGCAAAGGTAGGGGAAAGCGGGCTGGAGACCAGGCAGTAGGAGGTCATGGCATCTGTACTAGCTACTAGTAGAATTCGTAGAACGCAATAATTTACGGATTTTGAATACCTTCTACCAAAATTAAGGAAACTTCAGGTGGACATGGAGGAGCCCTAATGGCGAAAACAAGAACGAAATACACTTTATAATGAGTGCACGATGTAAGGAGGTATTACATGCTCAAAAAAACAGAGGAAGCGTCAAAACAGTGAAGAGGAAACTTGGAATAGGCGAAAATCAGATGTATGCATTAAGGGACAAAGAATACAAAATAACTACCAATATGAATAGGATAGTTAAAATAGCGGAAGAGTTTTACAGAGATCTGTATAGTAGCCGGGACAACCACGACGTTATTACTATAATAACCAGCAGTAACCCATGTGACACCCCACCTGTAATGATAGAAGAAGTCAGAAAAGCCTTGGAGAGCATGCAAAGAGGTAAAGCTGACGGTGAAGATTATATAGGTAACATCAGATCTGCTGAAAGATGGAGGACAGATTGTGTTAGAAAAACTAGCCACCCTGTTTACGAGGTGTCTCCTGACGGGAAGAGTACCAGAGTCTCGGAAAAAATGCTAACATAATCTTAATACATAAGAAAGGAGATGACAAGGACTTGAAGAATTACAGGCGGATCAGCTTGCTCTCTGTAGTATACAAGCTATTTACAAAGATAATTACGAACAGAGTTGAGAAAACATTAGAATTCACTCAACCAACGGAACAAGCAGGATTTCGAACAGGCTACTCAACAATCGACCACATTCATACTATCAATCAGGTAATAAAGAAATGCTCAGATTATAACCAACCACTATACACAGCCTTCATAGACTAGGAGAAGGTATTTGATTCAGTAGAAATGTCAGCAGTCATACAGACACTACGGAATCAGGGCGTCGATGAAGCGTATTTAAACATTCTGGAAGAAATCTACAGCCGATCAACTGCTACCATGGCGCTTCATAAAGAAAGCAACAGACTACCAATCATGAAGTGTGTAAGGCAGGGGGATACAATTTCCCCAATGCTATTTACCGCGTGCTTACAAGAGGTTTTCAGAGGCCTA